TGCCAAATATTCGTTTCCTACATTAAAGCACATTAAATAAACATAACTCCGGCAAGCAAATCTGATCAGAGTCAGAGCTAATTAACTAATTAGGTAATATATCACCTATGATTTAGATACAAGAAACTAAATAAGGCTGCCTTCCAAGCACGAGATCTTACAAATGAATAGTCTTTGTAACCTATAATTTATATCCTTCTCTAAAGACACAGTTTGCAGAGATTGAGCTGATCATAACATTCTTCCTAAAGGGTTTTGTACATATCACACCTGAAAAGATGAATTATTAAGCCATTTGGGGAGAAAACTATTAATTTGTATGGTATCAACCATTCTAATAAGCAACGATTCATATAGACTTACATCTGACCCAATGTCCAAGTCACTCCTTAGGCCCACAGAAAGTGTAAGCTTATCAACGCTACCAACATTTCTTTAAACTCCATGATTTAAAGTAACAACTCTATATTATTAATAGTCTAAGAGGCTATTAAAGCTGAAAAAGGAAAGCTCCTGCCTTAGTTCAATGTTCTTACTTATCTGACTAATAAAGTAGCTGAGGCCCTAGATGATAAAGTGTTTTGTCTATATGTAACATAAGCAACCATATTACTAACAACTAGTAATTTATATAATTTAAATAGGCGGTGAATTTCCTATGGCTTTATCACATTACTAATTAATCTTCTATGTATTTGAAGGTCCAAAAGGCAAACATAGATAGACGATAGGTGGACAATAAGGTTACATTTGTGATTATATCACAAACCTAAGGTAAAAAAAATATCTGAATCACATTGCAAATTGCCTTTTGAAGGAAGTCCTAGAAAAATACTCAACATTTTCTGGACCGTGCAAGACATATTTTTAGTAGGTAGGATTTCGATTTGGTTTTTAAAAGAAATTTTAGTGAGAAATACAGTAAATAATATGAGAACATAAAATTTGAATTCGACTTTTTCTTAAGGACCCTTCATTGATATCAACCAGGACATATTTACTAGAATAACTGAATTTAAAAATAAAATAAAATAAAAATTAACTCAAAGTTAGAATACAGTGAACACACTGGAGAACACGATCGCTTCTATGATTCCAAATATGGTTTGTAATTCACTGAACTTATCGACCTTCTGTCTGCTCAGCACAGTGCTAGGTGCTGGGGACGGGAAGTGAATGAATATGGGCCACATGCGTCTCGAGGCATTTATAACGAAGCAGAGGAAAAGACCACGGTGTTTAAGTGCTATGAGACCACCGCTGACGTAACTCTTACCTATGCCTGGACAAGACGCTAAAAGCTTCCCAAACGTGGGAAGTCTTGGGCTGGCCTTTACAGAGTGGGTAGAACTGCATCGAGTGGGAAATGGGGGCAGGGGGTCTCCCAGGCAATCATGTAGCACACACAAAATCTCATATGCAGATTATACATGGGACATATACAGAATAAATTCTGCTTATAGAGACCGTACTAGGAGAATGTGCATAGATTAAATATTTATCATATATTGAGAGGACAGGGATATACCCAAAGTCCCTCGAACTAAACTGAGTTCTCCCCCAAATCCAGTCCTTATTTATCTCTGTGTCCACAGCAGCTAGTACAGTAACATACACATAGTAGGTATGACAAAGATTCACAGTTGTCCCCTCATTAGCCATTTTTTACTTCCCCTACAGGAGCAGAAATGGACATGCGACTGCTGGGCACATAGCCGAGCCTCCCTTGCAGCTTGGTACGGCCATGTGACTCTATTCTCTTCAACGAGATTGGAGCAGAAATGACATGTGCCAACATCTCAGTCACGTTTCCCTCTCCTTCCCTCTCTCCCTTTCCTGCTGGCCTGACTGTAGACGCACTGCTTCAAGCTGGAACCGCCAATTAAGTCAAAGGAAGCCGTACGCTCGGGAGAACAGAGCAACAGGCAGAAGGAGTCTGACTCCGCAGGCCTGTGGAGCTGCCAGGGTCGGCCCTGTGCTGCTTACATGAGGACTGTAATGTGAAAGAGACAAACTCCTTACTGTCTGCTCTTTTACTTTGCCCTCAGTATAGAAGCCAAACCTGTATTTTTAAAAGTACCTTAAAGCGTTTGTGGAATGAATGATTAATTCATAGAATAGAAGATGGGGCAGGAGGTGAGGGTATGGGAGAGAGAACAAGGGAAGAGAGTTTAGGGTCAGGGGCACGGGCTGGGACTAGACTATGAAGTATCCTGAAAACCACAGCAAAGATTTCATCTTGTAGGATGTACAGAATTATCAGAGCCATTCAATGTGAAACTATCTGTTGTTTTATTAAGGTAGAGGGGAAAAAAAATCTCAAGACTATTTGGTCTAAAAAAAAAAAAAGTCAATAGTTCTATATCCGTGAGGAATCTGAAGCTTCTGAACTTTCGTAGTTGGCAGCAATAACTGTCTACTACAAAATCAAATCAAATCAATAAAACTAGCTGTTTGGTTCATGCAGCTAAATCACAAACCTAATGAATTGTTAAATTCACTATTTTGTTGTAATGTGAGATATATTAAAACTAAACTATTAAAAAGTGACAACGAGATGTAGGACGACAAAGTAGCAGATTCAATATAATTGTAGATAAATGTCTAAGAGGTCAATGCCGAGAATTGTTAAAGTCTAAGAGATTTCGGAGCAGTCTCTATAAAGCATGAGAATTAATGTTGATTTACTGCTCCCTTTCTACATCACAGTTGGTTGGGAGAGATAAAGTACACAACGGCTGTTAAGCACTGGATGAAGTACTACTTTTTTTTAATTAATTTTTTTAATTAAAGAAATTATTTAAATTTTTTTCCCCTACCTACCTCCCCATTTCCACCCCACCCACCTTCTGGTAACTACTAGTCTATAGTCCATGTCCATGAGTCTCTGTTTGTTTGTCCTGCTCATTTGTTGCCTTTAGGTTTATATCCCTCCCACATATAAATGATTTCATGTGATTTTCAACTTTTTCTGTCTGGCTTATTTCGCTTAGCAGGATTATCTCGAGGTCCATCCATGTTGTCGCGAATGGCAGTATTTCATCTCTTCTTATGGCTGAGTAATATTCCACCGTATATATGTCCCACAGCTTCTTTAGCCAATTATCTATCGTAGGACACTCTAGTTGCTTCCATGTCCTGGCCACTGTGAATAATGCTGTTATGAACCTCAGTGTGCAAATATCTTTTTGAAGTGCTAATTTTGAGAAGAAAACTCTGATAACAAAGAATAAGACCAGATCTAGAGAAGCCTTCTGTAGCAGAACCAAAGGTTTCTTGTCAGGGCCAACTCTGCTTGAGCGCTTATGTCTCAAGCACTCAAGGGCCTCATGGCTATTTCTCTGGCTCTGGTTTCAGGAAACAAGTGTCCCTCCCTCGTGGATACGCCAGTCCACAGACTCAGGGCATTCTTCCTTCAAAGCATGTTATTACAACAGTGACCTTTCAAAGCCTAGTATTAAGTGCACCAAACCTTCGCCACTAACTTCAGCAAAAACAAACCAAAAAAGGACCAAACGTCTGTATTTATCCATTCAGTCAATAATATCCATGGAGTGCTTCCCACCACGTGTGTGTGTCTGCCAGGCCCCAGGGATGGAAGGATAAGTAAAATAACCACGGTCCTCAACTGAAGGGGGTTAAAATCCATGGGGAAAAGACGAGTCGAATCAAATCATCACACAAACATGCAACTATGAATCGGTAATTTCTTTGAAAGAAAGTACAGATTACTATGAAACTACATAGCAGACAGACATCTTCTAGAATTAGAGGGGTCAGGAAAGGCTTTCCTGCAGAAGCGCTATTGAGCTAAGGCCTAAAGGGTGGGAAGACCTTAAGCAAACATAGGGGAGAAGAGGCAGGGAGCGGGAACATAGCAGCCATTCCAGATGGAAAGAACGTTATTTACGAAGGCCTTTGTGGCAGAAGGGACGATGCTGTGTTTAAACAGCTGGAGGATAAAGGCAGAGGGAGAGTGGGACGAGATGAGGACAGAAAGGCAGGTGACAGCCAGCCAGATTGGAAGGAGCCCATTGTGGATTTTTAGCTTTATACTCAGAGCAGCGGGAGTCCATTCACACAGCTGAGAGGCATGACCAAATTTGTATCTAGAGCTATCGAGTGTCATTCATTCAAAGCAAACTTTGGTCGTGGAGCTGAAGCTAGACAGGAAGATGGCCAGAGAGGAAGTAGGGGGACCAGCTAAGAAGCTGTTGTAATTATCCAAGTAAAAGATGACCGTATCTTGTACTAAGGTGGTGGAAGTAGAAGGTAAGAGAAGTGGATGAATTGGTGAGATATTTAGGAAATAAAAATAGATAAGTGCAAGTACAGAAAACAGAAAAAGAAACCCAACGTAAAAGACGTAATTTCCTAAATGCTCTTCGTTCTGGATGTTCCCATCCGTGAGTGGAGTCCAGTCTCATGTAGCACAATCCACGATGAATCTTAATTTTCACAGCAGTTCCAGTTCGCTTCTCTTCCTGCTCAGTCTTCATTTTTCTCCTTAGAATCTTGAACATAATTTCTATCTGGCCCCTTTTACCTACTGTCAAACTCTATTTCTTTAGCCACCAAAACACTGCTCTATTTTGTTCCAGCTTCTACAGGTTAAAAACCTCTCTTTTTCCGTCTTGTATTTCTCACCAAGGTGTCTGCATTCTCTTTTTTTTTTTTTTTTCCAGACACGA